GGTTCAGCAGCCGTTTCTCCTTGGCCGCCGCCAGCTTCTCACGGATCTCCTCGCGCTGCCGCAGCGCCAGGGGATTGATCAGCTCGGCTGCCACCGGCTCCTCCTTGGTGCCCGCCTCTGCCCAGGCAGCGCCCCAAAACCGGCCCCAAAATCAGTGAAATCAACCCCAAAACCAGCCCCAAAATCAGCCCCAAACATCAGTGAAATCAGCCCCAAAACCGGCCCCAAAATCGGTGAAATCAGCCCCAAAATCAGCCCCAAACATCAGTGAAATCGGCCCCAAAATCAGCCCCAGGGCACCCCACAATCCACCCCAAAATCAACCCCGTAATCCACCCAAAAATCGGTGAAATCAGCCCCAAAATCGGTGAAATTGACCCCAAAATCAGCCCTGGGCAGTGCCCCAAAATCAGTCCCAGGCACCTCACAATCCACCCCAAAATCAGCCCCATAATCCACCCCAAAATCAGTGAAATTGGCCCCAAAATCAGCCCCGGGCAGCGCCCCAAAATCAGTCCCAGGCACCTCACAATCCACCCCAAAATCAGCCCCATAATCCACCCCAAAATCAGTGAAATTGGCCCCAAAATCAGTGAAATTGGCCCCAAAATCAGCCCCGGGCAGCACCCCAAAATCAGTCCCAGGCACTTCACAATCCACCCCAAAATCAGCCCCATAATCCACCCCAAAACCAAGGAAATCAACCCCAAAATCAACCTCAAAACCAGCCCTGGGGCACCCCAAAATCCATCCCAAATCACCCCCCAGCAGCACCTCAGAATCAGCCCCAAATCGTCCTCGGGGCACTCCACAATCACCCGAAAATCACCTCTGGGCAGCGCCCCAAAATCACTGAAATCGGCCCCAAAACCAGCCCCAAGCACCCCAAAAATCCCCCAAATTTCCCCAAAATCCCCTCACCTTTCTTGGCCGGGCCGGTCTCCAGCGGTTTCAGTCCCAGTTTGGCCCGGAGCTTACTGGGAACAGGGAAAGGGCTCAGGGGAGGTTTGGGGTGGGGGGACCCCAATTTTGGGGGATTTGGGGTGGGGTCCTCACTTGGTTTCTTCCACGCTCAGGGAGGATTCGCCTGCTGCGGATTTAGGAGGGGCTGGAGAGGATAATTAATAAATTATTAGTAATTAATTAGAATTAGGGGAGCGGTTGTAACACTCAAAACCCCAAAATTCCCACTGAATACCCCAAAGTTCTCTTTAATCTCGCCAAAATCCCCTTTAACGCCCCAAATTTCACCTTTAACCCCCCAAAATCCCTCTGGGGTCTCTCTCATCCAAAGCTGCCCCCCCCAAACCCCCAAAATCACCCCCAGCTGCAACAACCCCCCCCTCAAAATCCCACTAATTGCACCCCAAAACCTCCTCCAACCCCCGCAAATCCTCCAGCACCCCAAATCTTTGCTGTGCCCCTGAAAATCCCCCCAAACTCCCCCTCAAATCCCTCCCCAAACCCCAAATTCCTCCCCAAAACTTCCCAGCCCCCCCCAACCTTTCCCCCCGCCCTCACCGGGCTCCTCCCGCTCCTCCTTCCTCTCCCTCTTCGCTCTCCGCTCGCTCTCGGAGCCGCCCCGGCCATGGCCGCTCCTCCCGCTCTCCTCGGCTCCTCCGCGCCGGGAGGAACCGGAGCCTCCCCCGGAGCCCCCGCGCTCGCCCCGGGAGCGGCTGCGCTTCCCGCGCCGCTCCCCGCCGCGGTGCCGGTGCTTGCGGTGCTCGCGGGGCCGCCCCGCGCTGCCGCCGCCGCCCGTCCCGGCCGCTCCCGGGGTCTCCTCGGCCGCCTCGGCCCCGCCGCGCTCCCGGTGCTTCTTCGAGGCGCCCATGGCCGCGCCGCCACTTCCGGGAGACAGCGGCACTTCCGGTGGTTGCCATGGAGACGCTTCCGGTGTTTGGCTACTTCCTGCCGAGCGCGGTGCTGATTGGCCGAGGTTTAGGCGGGACTTGAGGGGGCGCTGTGGGATGAACCATTATGCGCGCGGAGGGGTGGGCAGAATGAGCAGGATGGTTGTGACGCCGTCCAGTCCCCCCACAAAGGGCTGGAGATCTCCGTAAGAGGCACCGAGGATCTCCCGACTCGGTTCCCAGTGAGGAGACCCCGTGCGGTCTGCCNAGCGCGGTGCTGATTGGCCGAGGTTTAGGCGGGACTTGAGGGGGCGCTGTGGGATGAACCATTATGCGCGCGGAGGGGTGGGCAGAATGAGCAGGATGGTTGTGACGCCGTCCAGTCCCCCCACAAAGGGCTGGAGATCTCCGTAAGAGGCACCGAGGATCTCCCGACTCGGTTCCCAGTGAGGAGACCCCGTGCGGTCTGCCCGATGAGGGGGCTCCGTAAATAGCGCACCCCCGGGGCACAGCAAAATGGCTGCGCCTAGCAGCGCCGAATAGAGACTTTGACAACAGCAAAATGGCGGCCGCTTGGGGTGTGGCAAAATGGCGGCGCATGGGGGGTACCCCGAAAAGGACGGGGGCGTAGAGAACCCTCCGGGAGAAGAAAAAGGCACGAGCCCCATAAGTGGCGTCCCGCTGAGCGGTGGCGCAAACCAGAGACTCCAAAACGCGCCCTCCGGGGCTCTGTCCCGCCCCGTTCGCCCCGGGGCGTGTCCGGCCCCCCCTGCCTCGTGCTCTTTGATCCGCCCGGGCCGGGCGCCGCGGCGGCGCCAGGGGGCGGTGCTGGGGGCGTGGTCAGTGAAAGTGGGCGTGGTTTGCCGGGGTATAAAAAGCTGCGCCGAGCCTCCCCCCTCAGCCCCGTCACGAGGCATCGGCGAAGGTGCCGCCTGCTCTGAGGGGGCTCGAGCTCCGCGGGGCGCTTCTGGGGGGCGCAAAAGCCGTTTTGAGGATTTTGGGGTGTGCGGGAAGGGCTCGAGATCCCCCCCAAGGGCGGATTTGCTCGTTCAGGGACGCGTTGAGATGCGGCCGCGAGGCCTGGAAAGATCTTGGGGCGTTCTGGGGCCTCTGTGAGGCTTTTGAGGTCCCTGGGGTGGGGGGTGTTAGACGCTCAAGAGGAGCTTGAAACCCGCGCTAAGAGGATTTTAGGGTGCTACCGAGGAGGTTTTGGGGTGCGGGGAGCACCTTTGGATCTCTTTAAGACGCTTTCCCCACAGCGGGGGGATAAAGTCGGGGTTCAGAGGCCGTTCGGGGGGTGAGAGTTCAACCCCGCCCCGAAGCCTTTTGGGGCTCGGGGTTTTTCTGAACATTTCGGGGTGTTTTATTTCCCCCCCAGATGGAGCCCGAGGCGGCACCCCGCGAGCTGGAGCTGTCGGCGCTGGAGGCCGAGACGGAGCCGATGGCGGCGGCCGAGCCCGCGACCCCCGCGCAGCCTCCCCCAGCCCCGGAGCAGCTGCCGGGCGTGGAGAAGAACGGCCTGAAGATGAAGATCCCCCCAGAGGAGGAAGAAGAGGCTCCTTTAGGGGGCTCGGCGCCTTCGGGGAGCCCCAAATTCACGGGGCTGGGCAAGGAGGAGCTGCTGAGGGAAGCGGGGACGCCGCTCTGGGCCCGGGCCCGCCTGGTGCTGCTCGTGCTCTTCTGGGGGGGCTGGATCGGGATGTTGGGGGCCGCCGCTGCCATCGTGGCGCAAGCGCCCCGCTGCCAGCCCCTGCCCACCAAAGCCTGGTGGGAGCTCGGGGCGCTCTACAGGGC